AGATCCTAGATCATAAAAGGACATTAGTAGGACAGATGGAAAAAATCAAATAAGGTCTGCACATTAATTAATAGTACTGCATCAATATTATTTTCTTAGTTAACTTTTCTATGGTTACGTAAGATGTTAACACTGGGGGAACTAAGTGAAGGAAATATGGGAACTCTTACTATTTGACTTTTCTATAAACTGAAAAAGGCTTTTAAAAAGAGCTAATTGCAAATTTCCTGGCAGTCTAGTAGTTAGGATTCCATGCTTTCACAGTGGAGGGCCCAGGTTCAATCCCTAGTTGGGGAACTAAGATCCCACAAGCCACATGGCATGGCCAAAACAACAAAAAACAAAAAAGAGAGCTAATTGTTCTAATTTGTATTAATACTCTGAACACTCTAAATTTTCTAAGTTTATCATTTATATTTGTTTCTCTATAAATTTTCATTTACCCACTTTTTAATTGGATTACTGACTTTAGTATACTAAGAAAACTATATGAATTCTATATTGAAGAAATTAGCTTCTGTGTGTGGCAAATTATTTTCCAGTTTTTCCTTTGATTTTTTTTTGGTGGGTTAGTGTGTATATGTGTATATAGATTTTTTAAATGATTTCTGCAGACCTGTAGGCAGAAAATAAGGAATAGTAGTCAAGTGGCTCTAAGTTTTCAAAGTAATCCAAAGACCACAGAATAGGAATAATATTTTATGGAAATGAATTTAAGAAACTTTCTTTCCTCCATTAAAAGTTACATTTATTTAAACATTTACATACAGTAAAATTCATCCTTTCTGGTGTACAATTCTAGGAGTTATCACAAATGCATACAGTCATGTAATTATAATCAAGATACAGAAAATTTCCATTATTAAACAAATTCCTTGTGCTACCATTTTGTAATCAGTCTCTTATTTTTAACCTGTCATCCACTGACTCATTCTGTTCCCATAGTTTTTCCTTTTCAGAATGTTATATAAATGGAATCTAACAGTAAGTAGCCTTTTGAGTTTGGCTCTTTTACTTAGCAAAATGCACTTGAACTTTATCCAAGCTGTTGCATGTATCATATAACTCATCATAGTTTTTATTGCTGAGTAGGATTCCCTTGTATGGGTATACCACAGTTTATCTATGCACCAGTTGAGGGACATCCTCTGTTTTTATTTTCCTTTATTGTTAATGGTCTGTAGGTCTAGTAAAGGGCAGAGGTGAGATTTTATACAACAGGAAGAAGTTTCTTCTGAAAAGTCCACCTTAGAAGTACGCTCCTGGGTAACATGTGCAAAAGGTTATACCAGGATAACTTACTTCTTGTCCTTTAAACTATATTTAAAATTGGAGTTAATCCAAAGTGAGCAGTTTAACAAAGGAATAGATGTTTTTCCTGAGTATAGTTAGATGATATCCTCAGAGCAGGCATGACAAATATTCTGGAATGCAAATCACTGGCAGAGTATTAAATTTTTCTTTATTAAAAAACACTGAAAAAAGTAAAAATCAGCCCAAATCACACTTTAAAAATTTTATAAAGCAAAAGTCCCCTTTCAGTCTATCCAATCACATCTCTAAAAGGTTTACAATTTGGTATGTATATTTCCCAGGTTTTTTCTAAGTTTGTTCAGAAATATCTATATATACATATATCATATGTATACAAGTGCTTTTGTTTATTAAAAAAGTATTCACATATACATATATATTACTTTTTAACTTATTACAAAATCCTAGACACTATACAGATCAGAATGCATTAATAGATATACCTTCATTATTTTAATGGCTGTATAGTATTCCACTAAATGGTTGCATCATAATTTATCCTTTGTCACACTGACGGACATTTAGTTTGTACCCACTATTTCAGTGTGTGTGACTTTATTAAAATATAACTTGGATATCATAAAATTCATTCATTTAAAGTATATAATTCATGGTTTGTACTATAATAACTAAGTTCTACAATTATCATCACAATCAATTTTAGAACATTTTCATCAAGTTCTAAAGAAACCTTATACACTTCAGCTATTGCCCCCAGCCCTAAGCAACCACTAATTTACTTTCTGTCACCATATATTTGGAATCATATAATATACAGTCTTTTGGAATAGCAGCTGTCATTTAGCATGTTTTCAGTATCCTTCCACATTATAGCATATTTACCTCTTCTACTTTTTGGAAGAATTTTTGAAGAATTTGTATTAATTCTTCTTCAATGTTTGTGAGAGTTAATCTGAGAATCCATATATGTTAATGCTTTTCTTTTGGGGGTATTTAAAAAGTTTTAATTAGCCTCTTATTATAGGTATTTTCAGATTTTCTTTGTTCTCCCTTTCTCAACAATTGGTTTCAGTAATATGTGTCTTTCTAGGAATGTGTTCATTACAAATAAGTTATCTAGTTTATTGACATAAAATTGTTCATGATGTTCCTTCATAATTTTCTTTAAATTTCTATAAGATTTGTAGTAATGTTCCCTCCTTCATTTCTGATCCTAGCAATTTGAGTCTTTTTTCCCTGGCCAACCTAGTGAAAGGTTTTTCAATTTTGTTGGTCTTTACATAGAGCCAACTTCTAGTTTCATTAATTTTTTATTCTCTATGCCATTTACTTATCTACTCTCTCATATTTCCTTCCTTCTGCTTTTTCTAGTTAGTTTTCTTCTCTTTGTCCAGTGTCTTAATGCACAAAGTGAGGTTATTGATATGTGATATTTCTTCTTTTTAATTACAGGCATTTACACTTATAAATTTTTCTCTAAGCCTTGCTTTAGGTACATCCCATAAGTTTTGGGATGTTGTATGTTCATTTTTACTCATCTCAAATTAACCTTGTAATTCCTTCTTTGACACATTGGTCATTTAAAAGTGTATCTAATTCCTATTTGTGTCTGCTGACTTTCTGTTATTGATTTCTAACAGAAGTTTCATTCTATATGGTCAGAGAACATACTTTGCATAGTTTGATCCACTTTAATTTACCATGATTTGTTTTAAGGTATGTGATATAGCTATGATTTTTCCAGTAGTCATGTATGGATGTGAGAGCTAGACCATAAAGAAAGCTGAGTGCTGAAGAATAGATGATTTCAAACTGTGGTGCTGGAGAAGACTCTTACGAGTCCCTTGGACTACAAGGAGATCAAATCAGTCAATTCTAAAGGAAATCAACCCTGAATATTCATTGGAAGAACTGATGCTGAAGCTGAAGCTCCAATACTTTGGCCACCTGATGTGAAGAGCCTGCTCATTGGAAAAGACCCTGATGCTGGGAAAGATTGAAGGCAAAAGGAGAAGGGGGCGACAAAAAATGAGATGGTTGGATGCCATTACTGACTCAGTGGACATGTGTTTGAACAAATTCTGGGAGATAGTGAAAGACAGGGATGCCTGGTGTGCTACAGTCCATGGGGTTGCAAAGAGTTAGGCAAGATTGAGTGACTGAACAACAACAACAAAATGTGGTATGGTCCATCCTGGAGATGTTTCATGTGTATTTGAGAATAATGTGTGTTCTGCTCTTGTTAGGTGAAGTGTTCTATAAGTGTTCTATAAGGTCTAGTTGATTTATAGCATTATTCAAGTCTTCTATTCCTTTGTTCATAATTCTGTCTAGTTCTTAATGAAAATGGGATACTCAATCCCCCACTTTTTGTTGTATACATTTATATTTCTCCATTCATTTCAGTTTTTGATTCATGCATTTTGGTACTCTGTTGTTAGATGCATATGTGCTTATATAGATGTCATTATCTACAGAAATTTTTTTGCTTTAAAGCTCATTTTAAATAGACTTTAGATAATAGTATAGCCACTCCAGCTTTCTTATAATTGCCATTTGCCTGATATTTCTATCCTTTAACCTTCAATCTGTATCTTTGAATCTAAAGTGTGACCACAATAAATAGCATAGAGGTAAGTCTTGTTTGTTTTTCCCATTTGATGATCTCTGCCTTTTGACTAGATTATTTAATCCATTCATACTTCTGTCTCAAGTTTTTATTTCCCCATTCCTCTTTTTACTTTCTTTTGCATTGGACATTTTCTAATAAGACATTTAAGTGTATTTAATATTTTTACTATATATTTTTAGCTATTTTGTTAGTGGTTGCTCTAGGGTTTATCATACACATCTTAACTGGCTTCAGCTATATACTAACTAAATTCTAATGAGATATGAAAACCTTATTCTTATGTAAACCTATTCCTTTTCTCATTTTTTGTGATATTATTGTTAGTAGTGTTATCTCTACATGTTATAAACCCAGTAATATGTCATCATAATTATTACTTAGTATAATTTTATGTCTTTTAAAGAAGCTGACAGAAGAAAGAGCAAGTATATTATTTACAGCTTTTTTATATTAACCTTCTTATTCTTGTTTCCATCATTTGTTCCTATGGATTTGACTTACCACCTGGAGTCATTAATTCAGTACAGCTTTGTTTCTACCTTTGTCTTACTATTGGTAAATATATTAGTTTTATATGTAATAGATCCAATAATGCAATTACATATATATTGCTTGATAAAATAGCTTTTAAAATCAATTAAGAAAGAAAAATGTATTTTGACTATCTTTTATAATTACATAATTACCTTTACCAGTGCTAATTTTCTTATGTGTAGATTCAAATTACTGTCTGAGCTCACCTGCTTTCTACCTGAAGAACTTCCTTTGATATTTCCTGCTAGTCAGGTCTGACAGCAACATATTCTCCCAGTTTTTGACTGTGTTGGGAGTGTCTTTATTTCATCTTCATTTTTGAAAAACAGCATTATTGAATATGGAATCTATGTTGACAGTACTTTTTCATTTCAACACTTTGAGTAAATTTTCCCACTGCCACCTCCTTTGTTTTTGATGAGAAGTCATCTGTTACTGAAGTTTCCTTGTAAATGATGCTTCATCTATCTCATTTTGCTTTCAAAAGTTTTGTCTTTGGGTTTTAGCATTCTTACTGTGGTATGTTTGTGGGTTTCTTGTTTATCTTACTTGGGATTCATTGCGATCTCTTGGATGTGTAGATAATGTTTCTTATCAAATTTGGGGTGTTTACAGCCATTATTTATTGGAATATTTTTTTCTGCTCCTTTCTTTCTCTGATATTCCCATTACAAGTACATTAGAGTGCTTAATGGTTTTATACTCTGTTATGTTTTCATTCTTTTTTCTTTCTGATCTTCATTCTGGATACAATCACATTTAATCAACACAACCCAATGAAGTAATATCACTATCCTCATTTTTATAGATTAAAAAAATGAGGCTCAGATTTAATGACTTGCCAAAGTCACAGATTGGTTAAATATGGCTGTGAAGTTCAAACAGGTCTGATTCCAAAGTTTATACTACTTCCTCTATGTCATGTCATTTTTCTATTCTCCAGCAACTATAAACAAACAACTGGGGGACTTGGGGCTGGCTGCCTCTCTTCTAGAAAGCTCTTTCTTTCTACCCTCCTTTGGTATTCTTTGCTAGTATGTTCCTCTTCTAAAATTCATATATTTATTTCCTAACATGTACTGACGATGATTGAATGCTTATTGCTTTGAATTCAATCATTATTAAATGATAGCTAGTGTAAATGATTGTGAGAACACTAATGTTTTGATCTAAATTCTTTCATTAGAAAAAATGAACAGATTTTTTAAGACACTGATAACTTAATAGGGAAGTGTGCATTAAATATTTGCTGACTAACCTATGAAAACTACCTACTGTTACTGCTGAAGGTCTAATTCAACAGCTTTTGCTGATGTTTAGGCCCCTGGTCACTTATTTACTAGGTGAATAAAATTAGGGACAAGTGGGATCTAGATATAAATATTTCAACATTTAATTCATTTTCTAGTTTTATATATATATAGGAGGCAGTCTTGGAAAGAATGTCATCTCTAGGGACAAATATATAAGACCTAATATAAATTACAATGATTTAAAAAATTCTTGGAAATAATCTACTGTAATTTATCCTGAGAAAATGATACTTTTTATATGCAGCCCTCTGCACTCATTATATTGTCTATCCTAGATAATCTTTGATTATAGAAAATGTATTCTGCCAATTCTTCCCAAAAGCTAAAAGGGATTATCTTAATTTTGCTTTCTCTCCCTCAGTTTCTCTTCTTCAATTCCAAACAAACTGTTATCTATACAAAAACCCTAGATCCTAAATTCTGATATAAAAAAGACCTCCTGGGACTCACAATTTTTGTATCTTCTAACTGCCACTGATTTCAGTAGTATTATCTGTAGTAGATGATATTAGAGAAGCAGCCTGGAGATCTGGCCATTGCTTTTTGTTCTTTCCAAATTCTATCACCAATATTTTCCCACGTAGCTTATATCCATTTACTAGACGCAATGCTTGCCATGCTATTTCTGTATCTAAAAGAGAAAAAAAAAAACCATTAGTTTATGTATGGCTTAATAATTCAATTTTATTCCAAGTCTAGTTTATGTTGTTTTGCCTTGGAGTACAATGTAGGCTATAAGGCCATACAGTTATTTGAGTTTATTGTGTTTCCCACAATCCCAAATTTGTATAACTCAGCAAGATTAAACTAATGGCAAAGAATAATGACAATAGAATTTTAAAAAGGATATTTGAGAGTGTCTCCTAATTCAAGGATATAGGTAAAAAAAAAACAAGGATACAGATGGTGTGCTAAAGAGGGCTAAGCCATATCTAATAATACACAAACCTGTATCTTAGATAACACATTATAGGTGCTAAAAGAATGAAATAATTTTCAAAATAGGAAACATAAAAGAAGTTATTATGGTACTGGGGACATCTTCCTATTAATACTTTTCCTTTTAATTAGAATGTGGTTGTCAGAGCTCTCATTTGGATAAGTTTAAAAATCCTTGTAGGCATATGGAAGCTTGAGGTGTTAAGAGTATAAAGGACGTAAGGTGTAAGGGTATAGCAGGACAATTTAATTTATGGGTCTCAGAGTCTAGATGTGGGAAATTAGGAAGGAATGGACTTATTGCCCAGAGTCTGTCAAATCCTAAGTAGACAAGCAATGGTTTTAGATTGAACCAATTTACATCTTATATGTATGCTCTACAAATTTTCAAATGTATTCATAACTAGTGAAACAGTTATTTATTTAAAAGTACTTAGTGTATAAAGCCTTTTTACTATATATTTTTTCAACTAATGAATCATATTAGGTGGGGGTACATGAAATAATATTTTAAGTTTTAAAGGGTTCTTACACTTGAAAGACTGAAAATTATTAGAACTGAGGATCCAAAAACATTCAATGAGATAGGAAAGATGTACAATGCTGTATAAGAAGACTGCAGGGGAATTTGGCATTGCTCATGTGTAAAAGCACTCACCTTTAAATACATTACTATGCAGTATATAAATTATTATAGTTTAGGGATAATAAAAGGCACAGTTCCTACCTAGCCTCCACCAAAAAAGAAAGACAGTCTGGTCTGTCAGAGAAACTGGAATTCCTATAGAGATACAACTTGTTTAGTTACACTTTGTTTTATTATGCTTTGCAGATAATGTGTTTTTTCCCAAAATGAAGGGTTTTAGCAACCCTACACTGTTAGATGATAATATTTTTTAACTAAGAATTTTTAAATTAAGGTATGTACATTGTTTTTTGGACAAAATGCTACTGCTCACTTAATATACTACAGTATAGTATAAACACAAGGCTTCCGAGGTGGCTCAGAGGTAAAGAATCTGCGTGAAGGAGACGCAGGAGACGCGGGTTTGATCCCTGCATTGGGAAGATCCCATGGAGGGGGAAATGGCAACCCATTTCAGTATTCTTGCCTGGAAAATTCCATGGAGAGAGCAGGCTGGTGGGCTACAGTCCATGGGGTCGCAAAGAGTCAGACACAACTGAGGAATAGTGCATGTACCCTTTCTCCCAGTCTATGGTGATAATCTGCATTTAATAGTGTAAATGTAACTTTTGTATGTACTAGGACAACAAAAAATTCATGCAACTCACTTTATTGAGATAATTCACCTTATTGCAGTGGTCTGGAATCTGCAGTATCCCTGAGATATGCCTGTATTATTCTTCCCTATGGTTTAGGATACTGAAGTCATGTATTAGGATGCAAACAACAGTTAAAAAATATATCACCCACTAGTTAATTATGAATTACTAATGAATTAGCATAATATAGCATAATATCATAATAGTTTGCAATCTTACTTCTAAAGGAATAGGGCAAAAAAATAAAATAAAGGAATAGGGCATAATGCAACTATAAGTGTTCTGATAAGAATACCAATAATTAATGATTAATGTAATTATAACTTGGACTAGAAATATTACTTTCAACAAAGGGAAAGTAAATTTTGATACAGTGAGTAGGAAGTGCCAAGACTGGGTAAAAGAGAGGACAATGGTGTAAGGTGGTGGTGCACTGTCAAAGAAGGAGAGGAAACACAGAAGGGAGAATAGAAAAATTAAAAAAAAACACGTTTTCCTTAGTTCTCTTCCTTTCCTCCTATGTGCTTCTTCTGTGGGCTATATTTAAATTAGAGAGAGTATACATAGTTGCTAATGAACTTATTAGTGACTCAGCCATAACTGCGTAATTATCCAGATGAAGCTACTTACTGGGAAAAGTGATAAAAGCCTGCCCCCTCATTCGTCCAGTCATCATTCGGAATTGAATTGGAGGTCCTTTCTTTTCCTGGAACCGAGCGAATAATGAGACAAGATCTCTTTCAGTCACCCGAGGGCTAAGGTTCTTCAGGTATAACACCTAATACAAACCAAGGATCAACAGAAATATCACATTAGGGAGATAAGGCAACTATTTCATTGTGGAAGGATTTAGTTTCAGATAAAGGTGGTGGATTGAATACACACATCTAATTTCAATCCCTCCAAAAAACTTTAAAACTATAGGGACTTAAAAAAAAATGTAAGGAAGAACAAGGAAATGAGGCAATAGCAACAATATTCTGGAAGCTGTAAAAGAACTGAACAAGCATATTCGAGAAAGCTGAATCTTAACTCAGCAGTGGGGGAAACCAAGAACTAACCCAATCCACATCTAAGAATCCTGAAACATTTTAGGAACTGATATATTCTAGTGTCTCTGGGCACTAGAGCTGGAGTTAAGATAGGGTGGGTATGTTAAAAGTTCTTTAAAAAATTAGATTATATCTTTAAAGATTATATCTTTAAACACCTTCCCCTACAATATGCTACTGGGTAAAGACCACTCCCAATCCTGCTATATACTGGAGGTTCATTCTCTGAACATGGGGAATGTTAGACACCATTGAGGATGTGAATATTGTTCCTGAAAACTAGGCTTTAAGAGAAATGATGCATTATGAATGATGAGGATACCCCAAACACTCCTTCATTTGGCTCCTACAAGGCTGGTGGTACCCTCCCCAAGTGAGAGTTCTGAAGTCTTCTCTGGGAAATCTAATCAGCCCCAAGAGGAAAGGTCTAAAAATGCTGATTTAGAATGGGGACTTTCTCCAACAAATGAATGAGCCAGATGACTTTAAGTGAAGCTTAAACTCAATAAGGATCATTCATTTGATCAGAGCTTCCAATCCGTTTTTGACTCCTACTCATAAATATGAGCAGAAATTATCAGGCATCTGAGAAAAGCCACTAATGTGAAAGAGACAGAACAAAAAAGTAAATAAAAGCAAGTGGGAGAAAACAAACTATGCAAGGAGAAAAAAAAAACTTCAAAGAGCCATCACTAATATACTCAGAGAAAGAAAAGTAAATATTCTATCTATTAGGAATGAAATGCTTTTTTAAAAAAGAAACATTCAAGAAAATAAACAAAAAGAGCTCTTAAATGTGACTGAACTTAAGTTCTCACTGGCTCAAAATAGATTATTACAAGGTGTTCTAAGTAAGTACCTTTGTAATCATAATTAAAATATCTATAGAAGGCACACAAAATGAGAAAGGAAAAAGGCAATTCACTACCAAAAAATTAGCAACAAGGGCTATAAAACAGAAAACAACTAATAAATGACAATAGTAAATCCTCTCTATCAATAATTACTTTACATATAAATGGATTAAACTCCCTAGTCAAAGACATAGAGTGGTTGAACAAACAAAAAACTAAATGTAAGACCAGAAACTATAAAACTCCTAGAGGAGAACATAGGCAAAACACTCTCTGACATAAATCACAGCAAGATCCTCTATGACCCACCTCCCAGAATATTGGCAATAAAAGCAAAAATAAAAAAAATGGGACCTAATTAAACTTAAAAGCTTTTGCACAACAAAGGAAACTATAAGCAAGGTAAAAAGACAGCCCTCAGAATGGGAGAAAATAATAGCAAATGAAGCAACAGACAAAGGATTAATCTCAAAAATATACAAGCAACTCCTCCAGCTCAACTCCAGAAAAATAAATGACCCAATCAAAAAATGGGCCAAAGAACTAAACAGACATTTCTCCAAGGAAGACATACAGATGGCTAACAAACACATGAAAAGATGCTCAACATCACTCATTATCAGAGAAATGCAAATCAAAACCACAATGAGGTACCATTACACGCCAGTCAGGATGGCTGCTATCCAAAAGTCTACAAGCAATAAATGCTGGAGAGGGTGTGGAGAAAAGGGAACCCTCTTACACTGTTGGTGGGAATGCAAACTAGTACAGCCGCTATGGAAAACAGTGTGGAGATTTCTTAAAAAACTGGAAATAGAACTGCCATATGACCCAGCAATCCCACTTCTGGGCATACACACCGAGGAAACCAGATCTGAAAGAGACACGTGCACCCCAATGTTCATCGCAGCACTGTTTATAATAGCCAGGACATGGAAGCAACCTAGATGCCCATCAGCAGACGAATGGATGAGGAAGCTGTGGTACATATACACCATGGAATATTACTCAGCCATTAAAAAGAATTCATTTGAATCAGTTCTAATGAGATGGATGAAACTGGAGCCCATTATACAGAGTGAAGTAAGCCAGAAAGATAAAGACCATTACAGTATACTAACACATATATATGGAATTTAGAAAGATGGTAATGATAACCCTATATGCAAGACAGAAAAAGAGACACAGATGTACAGAACAGACTTTTGGACTCTGGGAGAAGGTGATGGTGGGATGATCTGAGAGAATAGCATTGAAACATGTATATTATCAAACGTGAAACAGATTGCCAGTCCAGGTTTTATACATGAGACAAGTGCTCAGGGCTGGTGCACTGGGATGACCCAGAGGGATGGGATGGGGAGGGAGGTGGGAGGGGGGTTTAGGATGGGGAACATGTGTAAATCCATGGCTGATTTATATCAATGTATGGCAAAAACCACTACAATATTGTAAAGTAATTAGCCTCCAACTAATATAAATAAATGAAAAAATTAAAAAAAAACAAAAACAAAAAACCAAAATGTGACTAAGTGCTGTCTACAACAAACTCACTTTAGATTTAAGGCCATACACAGGCTGGAAAAGAAAGGATAAAAAGAGAAATTCCATGCAAATTGCAACCAAAAAAGAATAAGGTTGGCCATGTTTAATCAAGATAAAATAGACTTTAAGTCAAAAATTTTCAAAAGATACAAGGACATTATATAATGATAAAAGGGTCAGTTCACCAGGAAGATATAATAACTATAAATATATATGCACACAACATGAGAGCACTTAAATATATGAGCAAACATTGAGAAAACTGAAGAGGGCTATAAATAGCAACACAATACTACTAGGAGATTTCAATACCTCACTTTCAGTAGCAGAAGAAAAACTAGAAAATTCACAAGTATGTGGAAACTAAACAACATAGTCTAGAACAACTAACGGGTCAAAGAAGAAATCAAAAGGTAAATTAGAAAATACCTTGATACAAAGGAATATGAAACCACAACATACCAAAATTTATGGAATGCAACTAGGTCAATACTAAAAGGGACGTTTATAGCATTAAATGCCTACATTAACCAAGGGGAAAGCTCTCAAACTACTTTGCATTTCAAGGAGCTAGGAAAAAAAAACCAAACTAAACTCAAAGTTATTGGACAGAAATAATAAAGATTACACAGAAATAATTGAAATAGAGATTAGAAAAATAATAGAAAAAATTAACCAAACTAAGAGATGTTTTTAAAAAAGATCAACAAAATTGAGTACTTTTAGCTAGGCTAAGAAAAAAGAGAAGACTCAAATAAAATTAGAAGTGAAAGAGGAGACTTTACAACTGATGCCACAGAAATAAAAAAGGATTATGAGAGACTACTCTGACAATTATATGCCAACAAATTGGATAATCTAGAGAAAAGGATAAATTCCTAGAAACATAAACCTACCAAGATGAAATCATGAAGAAACAGAAAATCTGAATAGACTTATAACTAGCAATAAAATTATTCAGTAATCAAAAATCTCCCAACAAAGAAAAGCCCAGGACCAGATGGCTTCACAGGTGAATTCTACCAAATATTTAAAGAATCAATACCAATTATCCTAAAATTCTTCCAAAAATTTGAAGAGGCAGGAACACTCCCAAACTAATTTTATCAGGCCAGCATTAACATGACCCAAAACAGGAAAAGATATTATAAGAAATGAAAACTATAGGCTAATATCCGTGATGAATACAGATGTAAAAATTCTTAACAGGAAAGTAGTAAACTGAATTTAAAAGCACATTAAAAGGATCATGGCCAAATGTGATTTATCCCTGGGTGCAAGGATGGTTCAACATATGAAAATCAATCAATATCATATAGCACATTAACAGAATGAAGGATAAAAATCACAAATCATTTCAATAGACATCAATATACAGACCTTCCAGACAGAAAATCAGTAAGGCAACAGAGATACTAAATGACACAATAGAACAGTTAGACTTAATTGCTATTTTCAGGACATTACATTACAAATAAATCCAGAATACATATTCATTTCAAGTGCACATAAAACATTCTCTCTGATAGACCACAAACTAGGACACAATATAAGCCTCAACAAATTTAAGAGGCCAGGGATTATTTCAAGCATCTTTTTGACTATAATAGCATGAAACTAGAAATCAGCCACAGAAAGAGAAATGAGGAAAAAAGATTACATGGAAACATAACAATATGCTACTAAAGAAACTAATAGGTTAACAGTGTAATCAAAGAGGAAATTAAAAAATATCTTGAGACAAATGACAATGAAAACTCAACTGGTTGGAGAAAATGTAGTCCAAAGAGGGAACTTCATAGTGATAAATGTCTTCCTCAAAAAAAAAAAAAATCTCAAATAAACAACCTAAACTACTACCTAAAAGAATTAGAAAAAGAACAATCTAAAGTCAACAGAAGGAAGTAAATAATAAAAATCAGGGAGGAAATGAGTAAAATAGAGATAAAAATAGAAAAAAATTAATGAAAAGAACTGAAAAGGCAAACAAAACTGACAGACCTCTGACCATGCTCACTAGGGAGAAGGCCCCAAGTAAATGAGGAGAAATAACAATTGATATTGCAGAAATGCAAAAAAAAAAAAAAAAAAACCCATGAGAATACTATGAACAATTATTTGCCAACAAACTGGACAACCTAGAAGAAATGGACAAGTTTCTAGAAACATACAGCCCACCAAAACTGAATCAAGAATAGTTTGAACATACCGATCACTAGAAGTGAAATAGAATCTGTAATTAAAAACAACAACAAAAACCCTCCCTGCAAACAGAAGTTCAGGACTGGATGTCTTCACTGGGGAATTCTACCAAATATACAAAGAAGAACTTATATTGATTCTTCTCAAACTCTTCCAAAAGACTGAAGAGGAAGGAATACTACCAAAGTCATTCTATGAAGCCACTATTACTCTGATATGAAATTCAGACAAAAACACTACCAAAAAAGAAAATTACGTTCATCTTTGATGAATACAGATGCAAAAAATCCTCAACCAAATATTAGCAAACCAAATCCAACAACAGATAAAAAAAGATCATACACCATGATCAAGTAGGATTTATCCCTGGGTCATAAGGATGGTTCAACATATGTAAATCATTCAATGTGATACATCACATCAGCAAAAGAAAAGATAAAACCCACATAATCATCTCAATAGATGCAGAAAAGCATTTGATAAAATTCAGCATCCATTCATGATAAAAAAACTCTCAATCAAAGCAGGTCTAGAGAGAACATATCTCAACATATAAGTCACCTACATACGAATGAGTTCTGTTCCAAGAGCACAATTATAAGTCCAATTTGTTCATAAGTCCAACAAAGTTAGCCCAGGTACCCAACTTAACACAACTGGCTATATAGTACTGTACTGTAATAGGTTTTCAATACTTTTCACACAAATAATACATAAAAAACAAGCAGAAAAAATAAAGAAGATATCTTTAATAGTACCTTGAAAAGAACAGTAGTACAGTACAACAGCTGGAAGGAAAGTTATGACCAACCTAGACAGCATATTGACAAGCAGAGACATTACTTTGTCAACAAAGGTCTGTCTAGTCAAGGCTATGGTTTTTCCAGTGGTCATGTATGGATGTGCGAGTTGGACTATAAGGAAAACTGAGTGCCGAAGAATTGATGCTTTTGAACTGTGGTGTTGGAGAAGACTCTTGAGAGTCCCTTGGACTGCAAGGAGAACCAACCAGTTCATCCCAAAGGAGACCAGTCCTGGGTTTTCATTGGTAGGACTGATATTGAAGCTGAAACTCCAATACTTTGTCCACCTGATATGAAGAGCTGACTCATGTGAAAAGACCCTGATGCTGGGAAAGATTGAGGGCAGGAGGAGAAGGGGACGACATAGGATGAGATTGTTGGATGGTATCACCGACTCAACAGACATGGGTTTGGGTGAACTCTGGGAGTTGGTGATGGACAGGGAAGTCTGGTGTACTGTGGTTCATGGGGTTGCAAAGTAGATGGACATGACTGAGAGACTGAACTGAACTGAAAGACTCCACACAAAATCTACTAAGCAAATTCAGCAAATTAGCAGGATATAAGAACAGATAAGCAAATTGAGCAAAGTAGCAGGATACAATATTAACTTACAGAAACCTGTTGCATTTCTTTACAATAAAAATGAAATATCAGAAAGGGAAAACAGACCAGAACAAATAAGTTTAATATTTATGATGAACCAAAAAAGACCCAGAATTGGCAAAATAATCCTGAGGATAAAGAACAAATCAGAAGGCATAACTCTCTGACTTCAAACAATTACAAAGCTACAGTAATCAAAACAGTGGTACTGGCACAAAAACATACATATAGATCAACAGAACAGAATAGAGAGTCCAGAAATAAACACACACACCTACAGTCAATTAATCTTCAATAAAGGAGGCAAGATATACAGTGGAGAAAAGACAGTCTCTTTAGCAAGTGGTGCTGGGAAAGTTGGACAGCCACATATAAATCAATAAAGTTAGAACACCCCCTTACACCATACACACAAAAAACTCAAAATGGCTTGAAGATTTACATATAAGACAGGACACCATAAAACTCCTAGAAGAGAATATAGGCAAACATTCTCTGGCATAAAACATGCCAATGGACTTCCGTCAGGCCGGAACCCAAGATGGTGGCGCTCTTGTTGAGACATGTTGGCCGTCATTGCCTCCGTGCCCACCTTAGTCCTCAGCTCTGTATCAGAAATGCTGTTCCTTTGGGAACCACAGCCAAAGAAGAGATAGAGAGGTTCTGGAGTAAGAACACTAGTTCAAACCGTCCTTTGTCGCCCCATATCAGCATCTACAGCTGGTCTCTTCCCATGGCGATGTCCATTTGCCACTGTGGCACTGGTATTGACTTGAGTGCAGGAGTCTCTCTTTTTGGCTTGTCGGCCCTCTTGGTCCCCGGGAGCTTTGAGTCTCATTTGGAATTTGTGAAGTCCCTGTGTTTGGGGCCAGCACTGATCCACACAGCCAAATTTGCACTTGTCTTCCCTCTCATGTATCACACCTGGAATGGGATCACACGACAGCACCTTAATTGAACTGTTCCTTTATAAGCAAGCAACTGTTTGTCTCTTTGACTCCTAATCTTATGTAGGTAGAAGCTGTTTGACACCTGAGATAGGGACATCTTCTCATCTTGAGTTTTTTCCAGGTTCTAATTTTTCTCTGAAGCATTCTTAAAGTTTGGGCTCATTTGTGTTGATGCAGTCATGTGTGGAAAGTGTGAAACCTGAAGACTCTGCTTTAGCCCTAGGGGAGCTTTTAGAATACGATATGTTGATATCCCTAGGGCACAAGAGAGTCTAAGTCAGTGTTTAAACTGTGTTTTTTGACTCAGTGGGTAGAAAATCTATTTAGTGGGTTGCTACCAAGAAAAAAGAACTTTAAATAGAATATACCATACAGAATATATCAACAAGGTGTTGATAAATATTGCTTATTGTTTCATGAACTTTTATATATAAAATATATATGCACAGACATTGGGTAGTAACTAAAAAGATATTTCTTAGTCATGGGGGTGTGTCACAGTCAAAACAAAATTGGGTCTAGATCCCAAGAGGTTTTTTTGGCCATGCCTTGAATCACGTGGGATTATTTCCCCACCAGGGATTGAACCCCCTGCATTGGAAGTGTGGAGTCTTAACCACTGGATCACTAGGGAAGTCCCAAAGAGTATTTTTTTAAAAAATACTCATTCCCCTAGTGGACAAATGTTGCTTTCCAGAGAGGATTCAGTGGTTGAGTATATCTAAAAAACCATGTAGTATATCCCCATTTTGGAGATTTAACAGTGTGCATTAGTAAATTGTTCAAGATGTCTTGTATTTAAACGTTTGCCAAATTTATTTGACCTCAGAACTTAAGTAATGCCTTTTAACATTCTGAGGAACTAGTTTTTGGAGAAACACACTCTGGAAAACCTTGATCTGGTTTTGTTGTCACGAGGGAAAGTTTTATCTGTTTAGTCTGAAAGTTCTTATATAGGGACTGAGGATCGATTCCCTTTACTGTCATTGGGATAAGAGGGTGGCAGGTACCGTATTGTGGATTTCGAGGAAGGCGAAGGTCACGAATAAGGGGGAAGTGCTTTTCTCTAGAATCGTGCTGAGAGAAATTGCCTGTTTCTAAGTGGAGTTCTTTTCTGAGAAAGACACCATGAGTGACCAGGACCCTGATTGCTGACACTTTTTTCCTTACTTTTACAGATGTGGGATCTAGGAAAAGGCCTGACGATTTCCCAGCTACACCAGTCTGGAGTGGTTGTCTTGGTTCTTACTGTGTTGTCCTCGGTAGGGCTGGCAGCCATGTGAAGAGCCGAAGTTCCCAGCGTCATCATCCTGCAAATGATCACATTGACCTGTCTTCCTGTTTGTTACTCTTGTCTTTGGCCGGGGCAAAGTTATCCTGATTTGTTTAGACCCTTCTTTGCTTGCAGATCCCCTTGGAGCTCAGCAGTAGAGTACGTTACATAACCAAAGTGGTGGAAAAGGGTCCAGTTTTCCCCTTATTTATAATGATGGAATGACTGCAAAAAACTTCCTTTTCTTGCCCCCAGCTTGCAGCCTACTCTGGGCTTGGGAGCCTTCTTTCTCTCTCCATGTCAGGCCTTGATTTATGCTGAGGGTCAGCCTTTGGCTCCTTCTTCCTGAGACAGTGGAAACAATGCCAGCTCTGTGGCCTCTGCCATGGGGACTGGGAGTGGGGATTCGGGTGCCACTGCCTGTGGGATGCTGGCTCAAAGGACAATTCTGTCCATTTGTCAGAGCCCAGGGTCTTTAGCACCCACACAGTGTGACTGACTGAAGGAGAGGGGTGGGGGTGGAGGAGAATTAGCCTGTCCCAGCTAGCGGGAGATAAGAGTTAAGTTGGCTCTTGAAGCAGGTCTTGGGGAGAAGATATATAGCTTTTGATGCAAGAAGGAGATCCAGAAAATTATCACTGAATCTATTGCAGGTTATTTCTTTTCTTTGTGTTTCCAGAAAAACCAAACCTCTTACTGTCATGTTTTCTAATCCAGAATCACATGACATCTTTTTCTGAAACTGAATTAAAATTATTATTTTGCCTTTGAAAAAAAAAAAACATGCCAATGTTTTCATAGGACAGTCTCTGAAGGCAACAGAAATACAAGCAAAATAAACAAATGGAACCTAATCAAACTTATAAGCTTTTGTACAGCAAAGGAAACCATAAACAAAACTAAAAGACAACCTACATACTGGGAGAAAATATTTGCAAAAGATGTGACCAACAAAGGGTTAATTTAAAAATATACAAACAGCTCATAAAATTCAGTAACAAAAAAACAAACAACCCAATCAAAAAATGGGCAGAAGACCTAAGTACATATTTCACCAAAGAAGACATACAGATAGCCAATGAGCACATGAAAAGATGTTCAACACTGCTAATTAGAGAAATGCAAATCAAAACTACAATATGGTATTATGTCACACTGGTCAGGATGGCCTTCACCAAAAAGTCTACAAATAATAAATGCTAGAGTATGTGGAGAAAAGAAAATCCTCTTACACTGTTGGTAGGAATGCAAATTGGTGTATATGAAGAACATTACAGAGGTTCCTTAAAAAACTAAAAGTAGAGTTGCCATATGATCCAGCAATCCCACTCTTGGGCATACATCTGGAGAAAGCTCTAATTAAAAAAGATACATGCACCTCAATGCTCATAGTAGTACTATATATAATAGCCAAGATATGGAAGCAACCTAAATACCCATCAACAGACAAATGGGAAGATGTGGTATATATTAATATATACAATGGAATACTACTCAGCCATAAAAAATAATGAAATAATGCCATTTGTGGCAACATGGATGGAACACGAGATTGTCATAGCAGGTGAAGTAGGTCAGATAGAGAAAGACAAATATCATATGATATCACTTACATGTGGAATCTAAAATATGACACAAATCACAAAACAGAAATAGACTCACAGACATAGAAAACAAACTTATGGTTATGAAAGAGGAAAGGCAGGAAGGAAGGATAAACTAGGAGCTTGGGATTAGCAGGTAGAAACTACTATATACAAAACAGATAAACAACAAGATCCTACTGTACAGCACAGGAAACTATATTTTATATCTTGCAACAAACTACAATGGAAAATAATCTAAAAATTATATATATGATATAAATATAAAAGTTGTTTTATATATATATAAAACTAATTCACTTTGCTGTACACCAGAAACTAACACAACATTGTAAATTAACTATATTTCAGTAAAAACAAATATAAAAAAGAAATTAATAAAGAGAAATAAATGGAAAGATATCCCATATTCATGGATTGGAAATATTAATACTGTCAAAATGTAATACTAATCAAAGTAATCTACAGATTCAATGCAATTCTTATCAAAATACCAATGATGATTTTTATGGAAATAAAAAATATCCTAAAATTCATATGAACCACAAGAGACCATGAATAGATAAAGCAATCTTGAGGAAGAAGAACAATGTATGATGTGTCATATATCCTGATTTCAAACTGCAGTAATCAAAACAGTAAGGTACTGGCATAAAAAAGTACATATTGACCAATGGACTAGAATAGAGGACCTAGAAATTATCCACACATTTATGGTAAGCTGATCTTAGACAAGGAGGGCAAAAATACACAATGGGGAAAAAACAGTCTCTTTAATAAATGGTGTTTGGAAAACTGGATATCCAGTACAAAAAATGAAATTAGATGCTTCTCTTACACCATACACAAAACCCAACTCAAAATATTAAATACTTAAAAATAAGATGTAACACTCTAAAACTCCTAGAAGCAAACAGAAAAATCTTCTTGACCACTGGCCTTGACAATAATTTCTTAGATATGATATCAAAAGCACAGAAAACAAAAGCAAACACAGACAAATGTCATTAACTCAAACCCATATTAGTAGCAAAGAAAACAATCAGTAAAGTTAAAAGGTGACCTACAAAATGGGAGAAAGTACTTTCAAATCATATATCTAATAAAGGGTTAACATCTAATCCGTGTCTTTTTCTCCTGCATTTGCAGGCGGGTTCTTTACCAATAGCACCATATGGGAAGCCCAAAATATATAAGGGATTCCTGAAACTCAAAAGCAAAAAAAAAAAAAAAGATGTGCTGGTGAGGATGTGGAAAAATTTTATCCCTTATGCACTGTTGGTGGGAATGTTTAAGTTGTTACAACCACAATGGAAAACAGTTGGAAGATTATTTAAAAAATTTAAACTAGAACTCATATAATCCAGCAATCCCACTTTTGGCTATATATCTAAAAGGACTGGAATAAAAATCTGGAAGAAAAATATGCATTCCCATATTCACTGCAGTATTGTTCACAAAAGCAAAGACATGGGAACAATCTAAATGTCCATTGAGAGATGAAGGGATAAAGGAAATATGGTGTATAAATACAAAAGAGTATTATCTAGCCTTAAAAATGAAAAATCTTGTCATTTGCTGCAATGTAGGTGAATTTGGAAGACCTGCTAAGTGAAATCAACCAGAAACAGAAGAAAAAATACTACATGATCCCACTTATATCAGGAATCTAAAGTAGTCAAACTCATAGAAGCAGAGAGTAGAATCATGCTTACCAGGGGCTAGGAAGAGGGGTAACTGAGGAAGTGTTCATCAAAGGGTATATAGTTTTACATATGCAACATGAATAAATCCTATAGATTTATCCTCATATAGCATAGCATATATAGTTAACAATATTGTATTTGATAATTAAAATTTTGTTAAAAGGATAGATCTTATGTTAAATGTTCTTATCAAAAGAAAAATTGGAGGGAGGAAATTTCTGGAGGTGATGGTTAAGTTTAGGGCACTGTATTGGTGATTGTTTCATGGTGTATATGTACCTTCAAACACAACAAAATGCATACATTAAATATGCACAGCTTTTTTTTTATAATATCAAACATACTTCAATTAAAAAGAAAAAACTTAACCAAGGAAGTAGAGGACTTATACACTGAAAACCACAACACACTGCTCAAAGAGATTAAAGACAACACAAATAAATGAAAAGATGTCTCATGTTCATGGACTGGAAGAATAAATTGTTGAAATGTACATACTATCCAAATTAGTTTACAGATTTAATGTAATTCCTATAAAAATCCCAATGGCATTTTTTTGTAGAAATACAAAAACAACCCTAAGATTCATAAGGAACCAGAAGGGAACCCTAAGTAGCCAAGCAATCTTGAGAAGAAAGAACAAAACTGGGGAGGCCTCACACTTCTTAATTTCAAAATATGTTACAAATCTACAGTAATCAAAACAGTATGATACTGGCATAAAGATAGACATGTAGACTAACAGAAGAGAATATAAAACCCAGAAATAAATCCACACATATACAGTCAACTGATTAATGGCGGGGGGCGGGGGTAGGCAAGAATACACAATGGGGAAAGGATAGTCCCTTTGACCAACAGTGTTGGGAAAAGTTGATATCCACATGCAAAAGTATAAAACTGGCCTCATTTATGTCATCCACAAAAATAAGCTCAAATTGGATTAAAGATTTAAACATAAGGCCTGAAACTCTAAAACTTCTAGAAGATAGTATAGGCGGGAAACCTCATTTTACTGGCTTTGGCAATGATTTCTTAGATATTACAGCAAAAGCACAGGTAATAAAAGCAAAGGTAAAGTGGGACTGTATCACTAAAACACTTCTGCACAGCAAAGGAAAACAATCTAAAGTGAAAAGACAACCTACAGAATGGGAGAAAATATTTGGAAACCATATATCTGATTAGAGGTTAGTATCTAAAATATATAATTAACTACCAAACTCCATAGTAAAAAGACAAATAACCTGAGGGCAAATGATATAAATAGGCATTTCTTCAAAGAACACATACATAAAATAAGTGTTGATGAGGAGGTAGAGAAATTGGAATCTTCGTACACTTTTGGTAGGAATGGAAAATGGTGCAGCTGCTATAGAGAAAAGTAGGGAGGTTCCTCAAAGAATTAAAAATAGAACTACCATATGATTCAAGAATCCTACTTCCAGTTATTAATCCAAAATAATTACAGTCAGAATTTTGAAGAGATATCTGAACTCACGTGTTTATTGCAGCACTGTTCACAATAGCCAAGAGGTGGAAGCAACCTAAATGTCCATCACAGATGAATGAATTAAAACAACAACAACAAATGTGGCATATACATACAATGGAATATGATTTGGCTAGAAAAAAGGAAGGAAATATATATATATATATATTTAGGAAATCTTGTAATATGCTATGACGTAGATGAGCTTTGAGGGCACTATGCTGAGATAAGCCAGTCACAGAAGAAAAAGTACTGCATAATTTCACTTTATATGGTATCTATTGTAGTTAAACTCACTGAAGCAGAAAATAGTAGCTGCCAGAACTTGAGAGGATGAGGAAATGGGGCGTTGCTGCTCATTGGGTATAAAGTTCAGTTATGCAAGATGAAAAAGTTCTAGAGATATGCTGTAAACATTGTGCCTATAGTTTACAATACTGTAATATACACTTGAAATACTGTTAAAAGTAGATCTCAGGTTACATGTATTTTACTATACCAGAGGAGAAAGAGATGCATAAGTTACTTACTTTATAACTTAAAAAAACGAGAAAAAATTAAGATAGGAGCAGCAAAAGCAAAGAGCTAGAAAACAGAGCCAGCTTAAGTGACTTATCCACTGAAATATATGAGTAAATATGTTGAACATTGCGATAAGCAATAGACTCTTAATGTCTCAAACCCTTTACAAGCTGGATATTCACATATTTAGCATTTAACTATACTCTTAAAGGCAAGGGCATAGAATAACTGACTTGTGATTCACTTAAGTAATTTCAGGTGATCTAGTTTTGGTTCTGAAATACTAATTATAAAAGCATCATTAAATTAAATAACCCTAGAAAGGGCGAGGTATGTGAAACATATTGCAAGTTTCTCACCAAGTAGGAAAGATCCATACTAAGATTATTGCCTTTGATATGAACATTTTTAAAAAATCAAGAGGACATCTGGTCAAGATGGCTTGGTCACTTCTTGCA